AATAGTGTCTCTCCCAAGGTGGTGGTAGAGTAGAAATGTGAGAGCCTCAGTAAACTACTGTGCATCGTGCCTGGTCCTCGTGTGTAATACTAATGCAAGAGCCACCTTGGGTTAAGCACTTTCTAAAAGCCAGACAGGTCTCAAGCATTAGCTCATTAAATGCTCCCACCAAGCCTAGGCCCTGCATACTGTTGTTATCTCCATTTTCCAGAGGAGGCAACAGAGAGTTATCAAGGTGAATCCATTGCCCAAGGTCACATAGCTAGGAAATGGTCAGCAGGAAGTGAGCCCAGCACTGCTTGGCACTGAAGCCCCAAGTCCCAACCATTATTGTAGGAAGTGCTCATTTATGATCTGGAAGGAACACTCAAGGTCATCTTGATTAGCTATCCCATTTTACAGCTGAGAAAACTGAGGCTCAGAGAAGGGAAGGGATTAGCCTAGTCACAGAGCTGATGCTGATGCAACGAGGCCTAGAACTCCCACAATTACTGCTCATATTTACTGAGCACTTACTATGTGCCAGGTTCTAAGTAAGCTCAAGAGCCATCCCCTGCCACATTCTCACCATTCTCCTGGTTTACCAGACCAAGATTTGATTCTTCAAGAGACTCTCTGTCCCTTTGACCTTGAGCAGTTGAGATGCAGCTCTAAGTAGGTGGTAAGATCCTATGAACCAGTGCAGGACCGTCTAGGGGTTTTAAGACATCCATATGTCCTTACTCCCACAGCCAAGGCAGGGGCAGGGAAGAAAGACTACGCATCATTGCATTAGTTGTCACAATAACCTTAGGAGGTAGAGACTACTATGAAGTCCGTTTTTCATTTGGGTAAACTGAGGCAGAGAGGGGAACTAGTTTACTCAAGGTCACACAACTAATTAGTGGGAGAGGCAGGATCCAAGCCCAGACAGTCAGGCTCTAGAGGCCTCACCCAGTGCCACTTTGCTGCACTGCCTTGCCCAGTAGCCCGGGGCCTGGGCAGACTTCTATGCCAAGAGAATGGGGTTTGCAGCGTTCCCAGGTCACAGCCACCATCAGGCAAGGAAGGGCCCAGCAGGAGTGCTCAGCAAGGAGGCCATTGCCTGTGCTGCATAACCCAGGGAGGTGGGCGTGGAGCTGGGGCTGACAACTCTATCTGCCCAAAGACCATTAGCCCCCTGCCTCTGCATAGAGAAATGTATCCAACAAAATGCAGGCAAGCAAAGAACAAGTCCTGCTTTATGTGTCTCTTGTTGGAGGCAGTGCGCATCTTCGGAGATATGTGGATGAAAGGCACCATATAAAATGCAATCAATTATGAATCACCATTACTGAATTAATCACATGTATGATTAATACAGTAATAATAATTAATGGAAGTATGGTCTAGAGATTAGAGCTGAGAACTGGCAGCGAGGGGTCGAGGTGCTTCTTGCAGCCTCTGCCACTGGCTAGTGGTGTTCCCTGGGGTGGGGGTGGGGTGCTGGGCTTGGGTCTTGGTCTCTCTGCCCCTGCTCCTGCCTTGGTTGCAGAAGTAAGAGCCCCAGGGATCCTTGAAATCCCTAGATGGTCCTAGGCTTGTTTACAGGATCTCCCCACCTACTTCTAGCCGCATCTCAACCGCTCAAGGTCAAGGGGACAAAGAATCTCTTGAAGAATCACAATCTTGGGCTGGTGAAAGAGGCAAATGGTGAGAACATGGCAGGGGGTGGCTCTTGAGCTTACACTTGTCTTTAATGAGGGATGTGTGTTCATTTCATCTGTCTGTCCTTTTGTCTGTCTGCATCAGGGTTATCCTTCTCTCAGAAATACCCAGAGGGCCTGGACCTCATTTGTTACCTCTCATTGTAAAGCTAGTAGATTATTTTTGTGTGTGCGTCCTTATAATTTCCTATTGCTCATCTAGCCCATGAATATTTCCTCATTGTAAAGGAGTCGAGCAATGCAGAAAGAATGTATATAATAAAGCATGTTCTTCCCCCTCATCTCCCCTGTTCCTGTCTTGGTGTGTTTCTTTATTACACACACACACACACACACACACACACACACACAAATCTTTTTTAAAAAAAAACATAGATGGAATAAAACGGAAAGCATTGTTCTACAGATGCTTTTTGATAGTAAATTCCACATACACCATTCAAATTAAAACTGTGCAGTGAAGACAAAATCCCACCAATGAAGACGGTGATTAGGCTGCTGGCAAGAGGGGAGCAAGAGATTATTTTGGGGGAGATTCATTAACACTTTCCTGCCCCTGGTGCTGAGCTTCTTTTCATTCCCAGGAAAAGGTCATTTGTCATAAGGTACCTTAATGATGTTTAAAAATGAATGTCCTCGGACCACCTGGTCCCTACATGGATGGCCTCCTGTTTGTTTCCCATCTTGGAAAATGAGCACTTTATTGTTCACTTGAATGCAACACCATCTCCCAGAGGCTGCTGTGGCATGCTGTCAACACAGGGGCTACCTTCCAGGGTAAATCCCCTCATCATGCAGATGGAGAAACTGAGGCCAACAGCAGGGAGGTGACATCCCCCAGGCCACACAGACAGTTAGGGATTGAGCCAAGAAGAGCCTTTATCCTGACTCTCAGATCAACTGCTCTTTCCACTATCCCATAAATTCCAGAGTTTGGAAATGGGGGAAGCCAGAAGACACCTTTCAGAACAGGTTCCTGAAAAAGCCTATTGGCATCAGCTTGTTGGAGATTGGGGGAGGGAAGCTGAAGAGGCGTTTTAGGCATATAACTTTACATATGGGTCATGAAAACCATCTTGGTGATAGCAGGGAGGGCATGTCCCAGGTCCCTACACACCGTGCTTAGATAAACTACAAATAGAAGGCATCCTTCTCCAGGTCTCGCTGGCTGTTTATGACAGCATCCAGCCAGTGGTGATGAGGGAGGAGCAGGGCATTTCCAGGGGATTGATGGCCCTGCCTGGGGCGTGACAGCAGGCTGAGGGCCAACCCAGGTCATCACTCACCCTCCCAGGGAGCCCCACACAGTGCCTGCAGGCCGAATGTTTAAAAAGCAAATCGCTGAGATCTCTTCTCCTCCAAGGAGCTTCCTCTGCCTGGACGCTTTGAGGCCAGAGCAGGTAACCAGGGGCTAGCATGCATCTGCTCCTCTGGACAGCCTCAGGGTGGGTGGTCCTTCTCGGATGGGAGGGATCTGAGAGCAGCAGCGCTGATGGGTGCAGATGCAGGAGGAGGCGCTCAATGGCCTTGTTTGGACACCTCCTTGGAAAAGAAAGGACTCACCATTCACATCTCAAAGATGGGGAAAATGAGGCCTAGAAGCAATCTGCGCCATGCCGCAAGTTAACCAGCAAGTCAGGCGGCAGCAGAGCACTGGCTGGGAACCTGCAAGTCCTGCCTCCCAGGCCAGAGTCTTCCTTAGTCATGTGACCTTGGGCAAGTTACTGAACATCTCTAAGCTTCATCTATAACAGGGGGATTTGCTAACAGCACTTAAGTCACAGGGTCATTGGGAGGAATCAGTGAATAATGTATGTAAACTGGTTCACATGGAGTCTGGCATAAAACAAGTGTTCAATAAATGTTAAATTATTATTATTGCTGTTGTTATTAAAGCAGATGACAGCATTTAATTCTGCATTCTCTGCCTGCTTTATCACAAGATTCTAAATGTTATTAGGCAGTACAGCCCCCCTTCCAGGTTCAGGAGGAGCCAAGAGCAGGGAAAGGTGAAGGTGGAGGTAAAGGGTGTCCGTGAGGTATGGACGCTGAAGTGCCAAATCTTGCTCCCATTTCTGTCACCCTCCGTGACCTTGGACTAGTCCCTCTCCGGCTCTGTCCTCAGACCCTTTGTTCTTGATGCATCCAAATGACAATGCTGCCTGAGAGCAGCAGTGAGAACCCACCCCAAGGAGGAGGCTGGGAGTACCCAAAAGCTACATGTCCCCCTGGGGCCCAAGGAAGCTCTGGGAACAGCCTGGGAGGCAGCCTGGCAGGAAACCTCCATGGGATTGAAGAGCCAGGGCTGCCCTGTCTTGCCAATTCAGTGGCCTCTGCCCTGGCCCCTGAAGCAGTCCTCCCACCCCTCCTTGGCTGCTTGCCAGGGCAGGAGGCCATGAGCCCCTTAGCCAGGCCCCACCTGCCCCCCTACTCTACACTCCCTGAAGAGCTGGCTTGGCTTCATCAAAAGCAAGGCCCATCAGGGTGGAGGCGGCATGTGTCAGCTGGTATTCAGGCTCTGGTTGTGCGCTCAGCTCGCTCCCCCTCCCCATCTCCCCAAATCCACCCACCCACCCCTTTACCCACTGCTTGGGGCCTTCTGGGTGGCAGTACTTCGCAGAGGGAGACAGGGGAGCAGCCTTGATCCCTTGGCTGCTGAGGGGCGGGGAGAGACTGACTCACTTGGCCCCGTCCCTGATGCCGATGGGGCAGCCCCCACACCCATGGGCGTTGGCACGCTGGTCAACCCCTTGGGGGGAAAGAAAGCAGCAGTCCCGCGGCGCCCTTCCCATCGGCGCCTGACCCGAGCCGGCTGAGAATGCGCTCTGCGCGCAGGGACGCGCTGGCCCCCGGGCCGGGAGGAGATGTTTAGGCAGCGACCCCCTAGTGCAGGCTCGCCGCTGGGGCCATCCTGGCCGCGAGCCCGCCGGGACGCCCCTGCTCGCGGCCCTCCTCCCCGGGCCGTGGCACGTCCTCCGAGTCTCGCAGTATTTCCTTCCTGCACCTTTAAGAAGACCGTTGCTCCGTGGTGGGATGGTGTGTTAAAGCCACACAGAGGAAGTTACGCAGCCCGGATCAGACCGAGAGATAAAAGCCCCGATGGTGATCGTGAGTGATGGCGAGAGGATTTAGCCTCGGCATTAACTTGGAGCGGAGTGCAGGGGGGCAGTGAAGCGCCCTGCCATCTGGCTCTTGCCGCGCCTGGGGGATGCCCCGGCGCCCAGAAGAGCAGCGGCGAAGCCCACCCGGGCCAGGGGCTGCCCGGTGCCCAAGCGCGAGTCCTCTCCAAGCAGCCCAGGGGGGCCAAAAAGTTTGCACTTGTTAGCGGCGACCTCCCGCTGGGCCGGGGCGGGCGATGCGGGTGGTGCGGGCTGCCCCCTCCCCTGGCCCGCGTCTCCCGGACGGCTGCGGGCGGCCCCCCCGGCAGCCGGAGGGCTCCCCAGCTCCAAACTGACGGCGGCGGCCGCGGTGGCGGCGGCGGCGGCCACAGCAGCAGCGGGAGCGGCGCGGGGACCGAGCACTCGCTCGCAGCACTCCGGCCCTCGCCCCCACCCAGCTCCAGCCGGAGGGTGGGGGGAGGCGGAGCGCCAGAGGGTGGCAGTTCTCGGCCTCCCGGGTCTCCGCTCCGGGAAGCTGCTTCGAGCCGGGGTAAGGCGGGCGGGGAGAGCCGGAGAGGAGAGCGGGGAGGGGGGGGGGGGGCAGATGCTGCAGCTTTGCCAGCCTGCTTTCATTTTTAAAGGGCTTCAGTGACCGTGCAGGCTTTCCTGTGGCCAGGAGCCACTTAAAGCAGCCCAGCAAACGATCGGTTTCAAAAGTTGGTTGGTAGCCGCTGTTACTAGCAGAGGGCTGGAGCCGACCGGAGAGGGGTGTGCGAGTGTGCATTTGTAGCAGTATCTTAAAGGAGTAGCTTATCTTTCTGGCTAGCTTTCCCCCCACCCCGGGGTCTCTTTCCATCCTTTTTTTTAGGGTGTGTGTGTGTACGTGCTGGGGATTTCAGCGGCAAGACTGCCTGGATATGTTTTGTTTGTGAAAAGGAAATTAACCCTTCCCTCGGCACTACTTCCCCACCCCGATTTAATCACCACTATCTAGAGACACCTCCTTCCCATCCCTCCGCAAACTGGAATGTGTGAGTTGCACAGAGAAACTCTGGGCCTGTCAAGGCTGGAAACTTCTTTCGGTGCTGTAGAGGGCTGGGTAGGTGGAGGGGGGCGAGGGTAGGGACCGGCAAGGGGGCAGTGTGCAGTCGAGCCTCGAACCGGGTGGCGCGCAGACAGGGATAGAAGAAGAAGCGGGAAGGCGGGAAGGAGAAGAGGACGGAAGGCTCGCGGGGTCTGCCCGCTCCGGAGTAAGTTGCCTGGCCGGGAGGCGGGGGGCGGCGGCGGCCGCCGGGTCGCTGCTGGCAGCGACGCGAGGAAATAGGATACATACAACTAATTTCCGGGCGCTTTCCTCGGTGTCTTCCAATTAAGAGAGGCGGTGCCAAATGAGGGGGCACCCTCGGTGCGGGCTGGAGCTTTATTAAAGGCGTAATTATTAATTGCTCCCGTGGCTTGCACACAACTTTGGAAAAAGCAAAAAGCAGCGGCGGGGTTGCCCATACATTCTTGCGCAATGCACGCAGTTTGTAGCCTACCCTAAGCGCAGACTCTACCCCAGCTCCTTGGCGTCTCCGGCCGCCCGCCCCCGCCGGTCTTCCGGGGCCCACCCTCGCGGCCTCAGCCACCCCGCCGAGACCTTCTCCCCGCGCCCAGTCTCCCGCGCCCAGCTTTCCCTGACTCCCTGCTATCCTGCTCAGCTCCCCCGCCGCTGAGAGGGCGTCGGGGGCGCTAGGGGCGGGAAAAGGAAATCGGTTCGGGCGCGGGAGGCACTGGTGCCACTGGAACGGGGATGCCTGCTGGGCTGGGGGTGAGCGCTGGGCATTTCCAGGACCCGACCCACGGCGAGGGGCGGGAAGGTGACCTCGGCCCGCATGGGCTCCCCTTTCCCTCTTCGACACCCACCAGCAGATTTTACTCCCCTTTGCGGCCCCCGCTGGGGAGAGAGGAGGAACCTCATGGTGGGTTGGGTCCCCCGAGATTCCTCCAGCGCCCCCCCCCAAATCCCCGGAGGCCCCGCACTGGCGCCCGCCGCGGCAAGCGTCCCGCATGGCGAGGGCGCAGCCGGCAACTCTGAGAGGCGCTTGCTCGCGAGCCCAGCCAGCTCCAATAGGCGCTAATTCAATAAGACAGAGAAATCTGAGTTCAGAAATCTTGATAAAATCTAATTTTCGGGTTTTAATACCCTGGCTATCAGCCCCCCTCGGTTCCTGAGGACTCTTAAAAGAAAATAAAGCGCAATGATTCTATTTGTTTCTGGGAGCTGCAGTTTCTTAATAATATCAGGTGAAGATTTATTTTCCAAGGAGAAAACAATCCACCGGGATACAACCTCTAACTCCTGAATTTCCCCCGCTGGCTTCCCACTCCCTGCTTTCCGTCTCATTATTCCGGGGACTCTTGAGTCTTCCCCCCCTCCCCTTTTTTTCTTTTTGGCAAAAACCAACTGTAATATTCGCATGTTGAGCTCATAATTCCCCCTACGATGCCAGCAACGCCCAATTGATTGAGTGGTTGTAAACACGGTTTTTTCCGCTGGCAGATTTTGTTGTTGTTGGCTTTATCCACCCCCCCCCCCAATTTTCCAGGGAATGCGCGGCATTTAAGCCAACAGAACTGCAAAGCAATTAATAGATCCGCGCGACGCGCAGCTCGCCCGGGCCTCACTGCCTCGCCGCCTCCCCTCGCCCGGCCCGCGTCCAGCGCCTTCCAAGCCCGGAGCAGCGGCTGGTCCTGCAGATGAAGGAGGCCCGCAGCTTCGTCCTCCCTGCGAGCCGCAGCCCCGCGCCCTGGTTGTCCCCAGGCGTCAGGAGCTCCCTACCTGTTAGTGAACAGTTGGGAGTCCGCGGCTGGAAGAATTAATTAGGGACGTGCTGTTTTCTGGGCAGCACAGAACTCGGGTAGAACCATCCAAACCTTAGCCTGCCGAGCTATATTATTTTTACTACATTTTCTCAGACTATAAAAATAGACGCTAGGCGGGTTCTTTCTGAGAGTTATCTAGCAAGGCAGTGCGTTCAAGGCCGGGCAGGCTCTAAAAAACAGGTTTCTTTTCAAACAGCCAGAGGTGAGGTGTGAAAATGTGGTCCCCGTCGGCTCCTCATCCATCTCCATCAGGAGCCCTTCAGCCAGACAGAGGGGCACGGCTGCCTTAATGCAGATATATGAATCCCCCGGCTTGTGGCCACGGAGGACAGCGGCTAGGGGCTTCTCCCAGAGCTGAGGTGCTGCATGCCAGCCCTGGCCAGGCAGAGGCCGCTGCTCGGTTTGTCATTTTTAGCAGGAGCCTGTTTGTGTCTGGGTGAAGAACGGGGTTTCGGGGAAACGTAGTTAACTCTTCAGGGACTTCCCATTTACAATGGCTGAAGAGGATGTCAGGTGAGAGAGTCAGACTGAGGTGCAGCACCAATGCCGGACCGGGTTTGGGAATTTAAATGCGATAATTATGGGCATAATAACCAGAGTAATTAATAATGTAGGTACATCTGCTGTGACTCATTGCAATAACCTTTGCCCCACTGGCCGGTATTTTTGGCCGGGATCCCATGCTGGTCTTGGACTTGAATTCTCCTGGTGATGTATCAAGTGTCTGGGAACACCACTTTAGTGGAGTCATGCATTTGACAATGTAACGTTCATATGAGTTATGTCTATTTGGGCTTTTAAATAATTTCCAGTAGCTTAAAATAGTAAAACAATAATCATAATAGTAATCCATTGGCAAGCATAGCCTCTGAGGATGATTGCAAAATTTTCAGCCTTGGTCAGAAAAATCCAATATGAGAAAACATTGTCACTCCTGTGAAAGGCTTCACCATCCCTAGTTTTTTATGCTGAAAAGAAAATTTTTTCCGTTTCAGGTTGTGCCTGTATTTGGGGAGACATTTATCTGCACCTGGTTCTTAATTGTTGATCTCTGTGTGGACCACTCTGTTTATCTGCGCCCCTCGGTACAGTCTCGCCCGTGCCTTTAACTTCTATGACATTTTGACTTGTCAGTCATGGTATTTTAAAGCAACTATTATGTCTTGGCTCCTGGGGATGTTTTAGAAAGTCGCTGACCCCAGAATGGGGGTACGTCTGCTGACCTTACACCCCCAGAAAAGATGCAAAAATCCATAACTTTTTAAATAATATACTCAATCTCCAAATGTGCGACTCCAATATTAATAAAAATCACTCGGTTTTCTCAGGAAACCTTGCTAATGCAACCTCATTTTTTGCACATTTTGCCAGAGAGCTTTTGTTCTTATACATCTTTATTCCCCCCCCCCCTTCTTTTTTTTTAATTTGTTGCAGGTGTTGTTGCTAATGAGCTCTCTCTCCTCCCCTCTTACAATGAAAGACAAGCCTGGATGGATTGAGAGCTGAAGCCCCAGAAACTCCATAGTAAGTTGCCGGTGGTTACCAGCCAAGGTCAGCGGCCCCATTAGTGCCTATCCGCACCAAAGTAGAGCCAAACAACCTTCTCCCCAGTTAACGCCTCGGTAGCGTTTGTGTTTTTCAGTCCAGTGGCACAATTGTTGTTACTTTCAACTCATATGAAAAGAAATCTCTTTTATTGGTCTGAGACGCCAAGTCCAGTCCCAAAGAGGAACACGTTTCCTGCTAACATGTACACCTCCTGATTTTATTTTATCTTTACAATGCAGGCCGGAGGGTTGTTTTACAGTTGTGTTGAGCACATCACACATTAAGGGCCCTTTAAAGACCTGGATTGATTGGAAGGACAAAAATTAAAAGCAATCTGATCTGGCCTCACGTCAGATCCCTGCGACTTTTCTCCATATCCCATTTCCACCCACTGTCACAATTTGAGCGTCTGCTTGATTTGATCAGACTCACCTCTGGGAGAGGTGTAACGCCAAGGTTAGGAGGACGCCAAGTTATGGGCAACTTTTTGATCTGCCCATCAGCAGTCTGAGAAACGCTGGCTCTGAATTTTCTGTATCAGCCTTTTGGAAAAAACAAGTTCCTTGCTGTTTTGCAAACCTGCAGTGCTCAGGTCCCTGGGATATCCCGGCCACCATTGCTCGGTAGATGTGGCATTTCCATGCTGAGGCCGCAAGTCGCTGCCTCTCCAGGGCCTCTCGGGGCCACGCCCCTGCGGACCTCGCAGTCATGCTGCACCTGCTGGCTCTCTTCCTGCACTGCCTCCCTCTGGCCTCTGGGGACTACGACATCTGCAAATCCTGGGTGACCACCGATGAGGGCCCCACCTGGGAGTTCTACGCCTGCCAGCCCAAGGTGATGCGCCTGAAGGACTACGTCAAAGTGAAGGTGGAGCCCTCGGGCATCACGTGCGGAGACCCACCTGAGAGGTTCTGCTCCCATGTAAGTCAGCCCATTGTTGTTCTGTTGGCCCTTGGCCAAGAGGGAGGGAGCTTGGGACAGCCCCTTGGGATGGATGAACAGAGTGGGAGGGTCAAGATGGAAAGCTGACTTGGATTGGGACCAGGTTTTTGTCCCATCTTGGAATTGTGCCAGTGTAAAGGCCACCCCCAAAGGACTCTGGGGTCATGCTACATTGTTCTCTGGGGTGGAGACATTCTCGGCCAGCTGAACATCAGAACAACCATGGTAATCACATTTCCACAGTCTTGCAGATAAGCCCTGCTTTCCTTGGTAGGAAATGAGAGGCCCTGGGCAAACGAATGAGGTACTATTTGCAATGTTGCACTCCAACCTTCCTCTGTTGATCCATTCTGTGGCACAACCTCCTACCCCACCCAATCCAATCCAACCAAAAGCATTTCGAGGCCAAGGTGCACCAAGCACTGAGCTGGCACTTTGCAGTGGAAGGTTTGATGGGAGCACAGAGGGTACTCGTCAGGGAGGAAGGTGAGGATCAAGCCAGAATGGACAATGAGGCTGGGGCCCTTTCCAGTTCCATCCTTGGGTGGGGCCACCACTATTACTGGATAAGTCAGGGGAGAGGCAGACATTCCAATGTTGTCATTTGAGTCCCTGAGTTACACCAGGATGGGGTTTTAGAGCCACGGAGTAGCTTCAGCACTCAAGTCATATGAACAGCAACAATAGTAGCAGGGATCATTTAATGTGAGCTCCGTGTGTGGGGGCTAAGAGCTTGATACATGTCATTCCATCGAGTCCTCACCTCAGCTCAGCCAGGCTGATTCTGTGTTGCATACTGTGGGCTCTTGATCAGTGGTATCTCTGAGTCTCTGTCCCCTCACTTATAAAATAGTGACACTAATCGTGCACACTCATAGGGTCATTGTAGTGCTCAGAATAGGGTCTGGCACAGAGCAAGTGCCCCATAGGTGTTAGCCATCGTCATTCCCGTCTTATAGATGGGGAAACTAAGGCAACAGGCATGAAGGCACTTGCCCAAGGTCACACACTAGGAAGTAGTGAAGCTGTGATTCAAGCTTAGTGTGTCTGGTTCCAAAGTCACTAAGTTAAACTGCTTCCAGAGGGCTGCCTTGCTATTGGGCATTGCTCTGGAGGCTCCATGCCTGGCAGGAGGCTGGGCAGGGCCATCAGGCTGCAGGAGCTGTTGGCGGGGTGGGGGAGTGGTCACTGGTACTCTGGCTTTCCCTTGGGGAAGCCTCCAGGTCTCCGGGTTTATGGTGAGGCCTTTGCGGTGCATCTACCCCGGGCTCCTGAAGACTCCTAAATCCCACGGGGAAGCTTCCATCACATCATAGAGCAGTCAGCCAGGAAGATGTGTTACATTTACATTTATCAGCAGAGATAAGGCCGTCACTCTGGTGTTGGCTGGGCTGCCAGGAAGCCACCTAGGGAGAGAAGGAAGGAGCTAGAGGGAAGGGACGGCACAGGGCTGGGAGCCAGGGGCTGAATCGTCTGTGGAGATTACTGCACTGGGACCACAGGCTCTCACTTTCCCAGCTCAGGAGCAAGCCCAGGATGGGAGCCTTGTTCTGTTCTGCATCTCAGGCCAGCTGTCCACACCCTCCTGGGCAGTCAACTTCTGCCTTTCATATTGAAAGTCTTAACCGTATCTTTTTTTTTTCTCTTAAATATTAAGCATTATCTTTTTTGGTGTTCTGAGGGAGGGCAAGGCAGGGCAGCTAAATCAGAATACCCACTAATTCACTGGGCCAGCTTCACGGCAAGGGCTTGAGAGGTGGAGATGACCATCTAATGCAGGTCCGAGGCCCTCTCGTGCCAAAGCCTTCTGAGAATGCCCTTGACCCTGGACCTGCCCCTGCCCCCACCCTCAGACAGAGCCCAGGCAGGTGTCCACAGAGCCCTGGAGTCTAGGAAGGGCTCCTTTCTTGCCTCCTAGGAAGACAAGTGAGGGGGACAGGGGAGAAAGAACAGCATCTTCAAGATCTTCCTAGATAGGTCCTCAATGTCTCACCACCTGTTTGTTGGATTTAAATATTTCATTATGGGCTGCCATCGAGACCTGCCTTTGATTACAAATGCGCAGCCGAGAAGGATAGGAATGCTGCCTCGATAGGTGGAGGGCAGCCTTTTAAGGGACTGTATTCTGCAGGGAAGAGGGGATCACATCCAGAGGGACCTGGATTCAAACCCTGGTGCCGCCATTTATTGCGATTTCCCTTGACAAGGTCTTTGTGTGTGCGTTTCATTGAATCATCTTACGATGCTCTGAGGTTGGCCCTATGCTAATCCCATTTTAGGGATTAGAAAGGGTTGGCTAAATCCTGCCAAGGTCACTCAGTTTTAGGCTCAGCAGAGCCAGGCAGGGAACATGTCTGTGGCAGAGGCCAGGGCTTACCTACCAGGCTGCACGGCCTCCCTCTCTGAGCTTCTGACTCTGCTGAGTCTTAGTGTCTTCATATGTAAAGCAGAGATACTTGCGTCTGAGTGTCCCAGTGCTGATGGGAGGGTGCAGCCCCGCCATGTGGGTCGTGGGCATGGCCAGGGCTGGTGCTCAAGCTGTACTAGCTGTTACTCACTTCTTATATTACTCACTCAGTGGTTTCAATAGCTTTTCTTCTTTCTGGAGTTCTTTTTCCCTCTTCAGCCTTTAGGATACTACGCCCTGTATTTCTAGTCTCTGGGCAGTAGGCAGTACATGCTCAGAAAGCTTAAACTCTTCCAGCCACAACCCCTCAGGAAGTTGGATGACCACCAGGGGGCGCCCTAAAGGTGGCCAGCCCTCCCACTGCCCCCTTAGCCTTGCAATCGCCCCATCCTTGTCACTGTTCCCCTGACCCCTCTACCAGCCCTTCCCCAGGCCTGTCCCACAGTAGGCACTGGGCTTGTCCCCATAGAGAATAGGAGCATGAGCCCTAGAGTACCCCAGGGGCAGCTGCCCTTTTTGGGGCTCAGGGTGCGACCCTCTCTCTCCCCAGGCTTGCTGTCCTTTGGCAAGGCCACCTAACAACTGAATTGTAAATTCCAACCTGGTGAAGAAGGGGAGGGGGAAGGAAGACAAGATAAATGAATAAATAAAAACCTATTGGCTCTAAATGCACAGTGAGAATTAATAGGGATGAGCTCTCAACCAAGGATTCTTGGGCAAGGGCAAAATTTCAATGAGGGCTGCGGGAGAGAAGTAGCATCCCCTCCTTGCTTGGGTCCCAGGGCCTGGGGAGCTGCAGGGCCAAGGGGGAAGAGGGAAAGGCAGTGCCAGCAAAGTTGCAGGGCAGCTGCTGCTCCCAGGACCCCTACGGGATGAAGGGCACGATTGGGCATGGGAACAGCTCCACAATTCCCCTCAAGAGAGGTCACCCACCAGCCACCTGTGCTGCCCTTGAAAGGAAGGGGAAACCCTTTCCTTGTGCTTCTGAGGCAAAAGCTAAGCCCTTGAGACTCAGGGGAGAGGTGATGAGGAAGGAGAGAAGGCAGGATGGTGTTTAGAACCAGCTTACAGCCATGCTACCCAGCGTGTGATTCTTGGACCAGCAACATTGGCATCACTTTGTTAGAAATGTAGAATCCCAGGCCCCGCCCCAGACCTGCTGAGCCAGAATCTGCATTTTAACAAGAAATCCTGGTGATTTGGATGCTCACACTGTATGGTCTGAGAAACGCAGTTTGATGTAATTGTTCTGTGGTGGATGATACCTAATGCTGAAGAAGGGGTGAGGAGGCTGTAATTTCTATGGAATATTTGCACGTTAAAGGAAGAGTCACTACTGAAGGAAGAAAGGTGAGGGGCAAAAGGGGCCCGGGGGGTCCTGGGAGTGAGGGAATGGAGCTGAGAGCTGAGGCCAAGGCCAGGGCCGGCGCTTTACTTTGAGTGAGACCCAGTGGAAGATTCCAGAGAGAAACCGTATGACAGCCTGGCAAGAACCACAGACCTGGAATCTGAGTTCACATCCCAGCTTTGCTACTTGGTTGGGAAATCTGAGGCACAGTGTTTAAATTCTCTGAGCCTCAGTTTCCCTCTGCCAAGGGGGATGATTGTGGATGATTGCCCACCCCACCAACTTCCTGGGAGTAAGAAGTGCTACTCTCAAAATACCTGCAAGTACTCAGTTAAGAGTGTAAGTTCTATTCTAGTATGAGGTTTTAATATTATCAATTTTCAAATGTCCTTGATTTTTTCCGTGTTGAAATGGATAAACATTAAACTTTTTATCCAAGTGAGACTCTAGGATACAGAGGGGCCTTGGTGTTGGTGGACTGGAAAGTTAAGAGAAGACCGTGAAGGCCCATCTTTGAACACTCACTTCTTACTCGATTAGAACCTGCTTTACCTGCTCTGTGCCTTGGTTTACCCAGTTGCAGAGCAAATGGCCCCATACCTCCCCTAGGGATCTACTGGGCTGATTAATGTAGATGGCAGGAGGGCCCTGGAGCTCTACAAGCCCCTTCCCACTGACACTGAACACCGCATGCAGAATCAAGGTCACAGATACCCTGCCTCTGCCAGACCTCTATGTTCACGAAAGGTTTCCATCCAGCAGTGCAGAGCTGATGGGTCCACTGGCTCAGGACTCCTTCCCCCTCTGGTTCCTGGCCCCCAAACCCATAGTGGAGTGTGCTCAGAACACCCCTCTCCAGCCTCCTGACTCTCTCCGCATCACACCTGCCCTTCAGCTGACATTTCCAGGGTCTGACCTCCTGTCAGACATGGCCTCAGCTGCAAGAAGCTTGCAGTTGCACCGGGCAAGTGAGATGACTTGGGAAAAATTAAGTACAGAACAAGAGAAACACAACAGACGTTAAAAAGACCACATCCCGCTACCAACAGGTGGATGAGAGAGACCTGATATGACAGGAGCTCAAGAAGGATGAGGGCAGGTCTCTCCCTAACTAGCCCTTGATGCTGTTTCCCACTTCCTCGCCTTTGCCTCTGCTGCCTCCTCTGTCCAGAAGCCCCTTCCCTTCCTGCTTTCCTGGTCTCCCACTCTTTCTCTGGATACCTC